GCCATAGCCCATTAAAGGCAATTTTCGTCGCACTGTCGTTGTACGTCCCACATTGATTTCTACTGTAATTTCACTCAGTGTTGCTTGTCAGCACTGATAACTACGCAAACGCCGCTGCTCTTGGACATTAAGTGAAGGCTGGCGGCGACTGTATTATCCGTGGTGAAAGGTTATTCTCGGCACACTCTTGACATTGTAGATCTCGGAATGTTGAATTTAATAACGATTTCCGAAATGGAATGTCTCATACGTCTAACGGCAATTAACATTCCGAATTCACAGTTTGTTAATTACCTTGGTGCGGCCATAATCACGTCATAAACATCTTCACGTGAATTACTAATTACAAATTAAAACTCTGACAATGCACTGCCAAAACACTGCCTTTTTATAACCTTTGGTATGCGATACTGTTGCCATATGTATATTTGAACATTGCTATCCCATTCATTTTGTCACCTCAGTGTATATGCACAAGTAATAATAATAATAATAATAATAATAATGTCCGCCTAACAACTGGCTTTACATACATATAGAGTAGTAACATTTTAAGAGGGGAGGACAAGCTGTACATTTACGTCTGGGAGAACAAATCTAGGGACATCCCTGCATAAGCCTTAAGCGATTGAGTGAACCCAGAAAACCTCAATCAGGATGGCGGCTTAGGGCCGAACATTAATAGTACTGAGTAAGTTGTACATGGTAGTGAAAGGTAAGTTACGTGAAAGAGAAAAAAAAGACGTACAGGGGATGCAATTAATCTGATGACACTAATTATCGGCCGAAGACAAATATTTGGAAGCAAAGACAAAGATAAAATATTAAAATCATGAAAAGATGAACAAAATGTATTTTCTTCTTTTATATGAAGAACCTTATTATATTGCACAAGGAATGTTTCATACGATTATTGCACTAATGGTCAGGCAAAGTACATTGGAAGAAGTCATTTTCACTCTAGTTCTATTAATATACTTCTATATATTTAAAAAAATAAAAACATTTCAGTTCACCTTCTCAAAAATATAATAAATGACTTTCAACATCAAACTCGTTACGTTCCAGAAAAAAAGCTCCCATGTGAGAACACCCGCATGCCACGTAATAATAAAAAAAAATACAAATAAAACAACAACGACCGACAAACGATAAATTAAAACAAGTGAGCGAAATTTGGGTTTAACTCCCACGTTTCGGCCGCGAGGGCCAACAGATGGCTGACTTTCCCACGAGGCCGGCCGCCACGAGCCCGCTGTGCCGGCAACTGTCGTGCTGTCACCCCGGGGGCCGCACCCTCGTGGATGTCGCGCGGGGCTCCTGTGGGATTTTTTCGAATGCATTACGGTTGCGCAAGACCGACCTATATACTATTTACAGCGAACACGGCGGTCGCTACCGCCATGGGCTACAGCAGAAGGTTCCGATGTCATAAGGGCACGGTTATTATAAGGGTTATTATTCCCGCAAGTGTAGTGCATTTTATAGCGGTGGCAATGTTCCTCCCCCACTCGAACCAGACGAGCAGGCGCCGACCTACAGATTTGTTGGTTGGTTGTTAGTGATTTTGGGCGCGTCAACTAACGAGATAATCAGTCCCGTAAGTGTAGTGCATTTTTTCCCTCGGGAGGAGGTGGAGATCTTCCCCCGATTGACGGCGAGATCCGGCGCCGACCTACCGTCATCTACACATCGGCTTGCGGGGTTTTACTCCTGCAAGTATCTCACTACCCAGCCGGGACAAAGTCCAAACTCCCGACAAGTAGTGTGTGTGTGTGTATATGTATGTATGTGTGTATGTGTGTATGTGTGTATGTGTGAATGTGTGTATGTGTGAATGTGTGTGAATGTGTGTATGTGTGTGAATGTGTGTGTATGTGTGTGTCTGTATATATATGTGTGTATATGTGTGTGTATATGTGTGTATATGTGTGTGTATATGTGTGTGTATATGTGTGTGTATATGTGCGTGTATGATGTGTGGAAATGTATGTGTGTATGTGTGTGTGCGTGTGTGTGTGCGTGTGTGTGCGTGTGTGTGCGTGTGTGTATGTGTGTGTATGTGTGTATGTGTGTATGTGTGTGTATGTGTGTGTATGTGTGTGTATGTGTGTGTATGTGTGTGTATGTGTGTGTATGTGTGTGTGTGTGTGTGCGCGTATTCGCGCGCGTGTGTGGGTGTGCGTGTGGAGAGAAGAGGAGGAACAAGGATAACGAAGGGAAGATTGCCCTCGTTCCTTGGCTTATTTGTTAGATTTTCGCCCCGGCGGCGTTCACCTGGTATTAATTGGAGAAAAAGTCGTGAACTTTACCGTCAGAGAAGCTGGCTAACAGAAATATCCTTCAGTTGGTACCTGAATTCATCACGGCAAGTATTCAAAATTCGTCACCTTCAGGTTACCAAACCTAGGATCTCACGGTGACAGGCTGAACACGAATAGTAAAATTTGGATTTTTTAACATTTGTCTAATGAATATTAGTAAGCTAACTAATAGCGAATATTGCTTGTTTTTAAAAATGAAATAAAGTTGCATTTGAAATAGAAGACGTAAATTCGTTAAAATCAAGATGAACATGAACATTATCTTCGTAAACATATTCATCATGATCGTAAACAATCATGATTATCGTAATCGTGAGCGTTGTCATAATCATTATTATAACAATCAGAAACATTATAAAGATCAGAAATACAATATCATAAACTTCATCTACAACATCCGTAACTAGTGATGCTACCGTAGCACGTATCTTCTCGTATTATTTATAACTATTACGAAATAATTCTACTCGAGTCCGCAAAAAGATTTGCAATCCCCCAAAGCATTTGGTAAGCCTAGAGCGCTAATCCCATTTAGTTCCGCAGGCGACGGAGGTGTCCATTGAGTTGGAATCTCTAAACCCATAGTACACCAATATAAATGCGTTTAAATTTCTCAACGAAATTAACGAAAATCGGAAATGCGCCAGTTTTATAACCGTACTTTGTTATATAGGAGAAGAAATGTGAATAAAAAATTCGAGCCATTAACGAGAAAATTTTTTAAATGGCCTTGGAGATTCATGTAAAATATCCCGAAAAATGTAAATATCCATTTCAAATTCAACAATCAGCAATACTAGCTAGATTTACTTGGGTTAATCAAAAATTGATTAAACTTCTGTGAATGGTTTAGGTGTGCAATATCGATAAGAAAACATCAACATTTTGAAATATACATTTTCAAATGTTAAAAAATGATGTTCAATACATCGACCCAAAATCATGATACCAAAATTTTACATTACATTTATCAACACAAAAAATATCACAACTTATTTTCACTCTTGATGACCTTGGACTGAAGGATGTGCAAATTATGGATGTAAGTGAATTATTGTGATTCTTATTATTATATTTTTCATTTAAAATTTATATTTCAACCAAGTAAAAATATCGAGCTCACAACACTGACGTTAAAAAAATCGTCATTTTCTGCCGTTCCACATGTACAGAAACTGAGACGATTGTATTAGGCAGCTGCAGCTCTATTTTCGCCCCGACAGGGAATCGAACCAAGTGGACAATGTCCAGGACCCCGGCAAAGCGCCATCAACGCATGCACGCCGTCCATGAGCGACCCAATTCGCCGTATATGTATATTCAAAACATTATGCACACACACATTATATATATATATATATATATATAATATATATATATATATATCATCTCCTCAGGCCTTTATTAGAAACACGAGTATATTAGCCTTTGATTCAATCAACTTCTTTACACGCGTTTCTTTTTTCATAATCATCATTTGACCAAACATCAGATGTTATTTTCTTGTTCACATTTATTCTCACAAGGGTGGACCGAGCAGTATTCGAGAAAATAACAATGAAGAATAATCATAATAATCACCATCAATGTCGCACCACCATTGCGAGTCTGTCGTGGTGATGTGCGTCCATTTACGCCGCAGGCAGCGCGCTCCGCACGCGCGAGGGCTAGGCTGCAGATGCCGCACCGCCGCCGCCGTGGGCTCCTGGCAGATCCGCGGGCGCGCGCATTTGCATGTTGATGGCGTCGCGCCTAAGGCCGGCACGTGCGTTGGCGTCGCCCCCCCCCCGCCCCCCGCGACCCTGCGTTCGAGTCTCCGCGCTTACGCGCTCCCATGGGGCGGGTGCAAAAGGACACGGGAAGATGCGGAAGGTTGGTCGGCAGGGTGTAGACGTGAAATACAAACTTAGAGAGTATTCTAATACGGCGGACGAGTTGTCCTCTGGTCAGCGCGGAACCATATAAGTCATCGTTGAAATGAGTAAAATTGCTACAACGCTCATGATGATGATGATGATAATGATGCATTGTGTTGTATGCACATGACGGAAATAACTTTATTTATTGATAGTAATAATAGTATTAATAATAAAAAAATATTTACTGCTCAATTTTTAAATTAAATGAAGTGTTAAAATTTATATTATTAGTATGGTTTACCTTCTAATTAGTTCTTAAAATAATGTATGTTTGTTAAATGGATTTCTCTACGGAAATCATGCATTGATAGAAATATCTGTACGACTCCAAAACCATGTACCAGAAAGCTGTGAAATAATAATAATGTGTTTAGTTTCCCTGGTTTTAATTTATGAAACCCATTTATAAGCACCTCCGCTATCTCGGAGATGCTTATAGATACCAATTATGCATTGTAGATGGCATAAGCTAGATTGTGTTAAAAAGAAACAAAAAACGTATTTTGTGGTACGGTGTTGAATGGAAACCCGCATGTTGAAAAATGTGGAAACAATCGCTTCAATGACTCAAAATATTACTTGGAAAATTCACACACACATACACACACTTTCTCTAATACATAATATATTCACTACAGCATAACGTCTACATTCTGATAACTTGAACATTCAAATTGAATTTCCTTCTGTTTGTGCTTTGGATATATATTTACATGATTAATTCTATGATAATTTTCTAAATATTTTTATAGTATACCTTTAATATCATGACAAACTGTTTTTTTGTCGGGAAACGCAGAGCACGGGTTGGGTTCCTGTAAAAAGAGAAAAACACTGAAATATTTAACAATATAAATATTGGCGTTAAAGAGTTCATACACTTTAGATAAAGTCAAGCTTTATGTTTTTTCGGACATAAGCAGGCAGGGCGCGACGCGTCGCAGTAAGAACAAAATAATCGGGCGCTCACCAAACGACGAGATTTGGAAGTCTACAGTTTGCAGTTTGCGCACGAATGCGGCGTATCCAACCAGGAACACGCACTAGCAAGACATTTGTGCAATGGCTTTTTATTTAAATGTTTAATTATATTATCATTTGATAAATATGTATAAAATAAATAATTATCATTAATAATATTCATATTACGAGAAAATTAATTCTTTGACGGGAAACGCATTGAACGGGAATCTGTGAAAAGAGAACAGCACTGAAATATTTAACAAAAACGTTAACGAGTTTATCCACTATATCAAAAATCGAGTTTTACGTTACTTAGAGGCCGATTCCTTCATGGAAAAAAGAAGAAGGCTGCTGCAGTAGCAGATTGCTTACGTACTATTTGGCTGCAGCGTTTTCTTCAAATATTTCTCCACCTAATGTGTCCTTTAGTGGACCAAATGTATGATAGTCACAAGCCCCAACAGTAAAGTGAGTGATCTAGAAATAGCCTGTGCAATTTCGTGAATTTCTCACGAGCCAGAGCTAGTGTACGCGATCGTGTGTTGTCAGGCAGGATGAGATCGTAAATCGGTAACCGCGATCCGGACCATCCGGATCCAGCCACCAATTTATACTATAGTATAAAACTATAGTACATACAACTGTATTCTTTACAAAGAGCACATTAACTAAGGAGATGGCTTGGCTAGAGTATGTGAAGTATGTGCGGTGATGAAAAATAGCAGGAAGCTTCTAAGGCTAGTAAGAGACATGGTATGCAGTTCCGAGTTGCACTGTATTAGTAGTGAATTTGAATTTACACCATACCAAAGAACATCGAAATGAAGCAAACCTCTATACTTTAATTACACTTAGCTACGGTATTAATGAATTGGGCTGGCGAGGCTCCAGTCTTCGGACTTCGCAATTTACGTAACTAAATATTTTGACTCTGCACAGCTCAATTATAAACGCATTTGTATGCCAAAAAACTTCTCGTGAACACTGAAGGCGTCACGCGTTCACAAAATAACTTTACTTCAGCTAGCGCTCTGTGGCGAATGGAAACAACAGCAGGTTGATAGCTAAGATACTTTTTCTGTCATACAACACCTTTCAAACCCTCCGGCTAATGTGACCATTAACCGGATAAAAAGCAAATAAGCCATATTTTGGACTTTGGTCAAAACATATACATTTGCCAACAGAAACAAAATTTTCACAGCTGCTCTGCTCACATTTACAGAAGCACAGGATACGGGACAGCTATAGCGTCTAAGATGTATATTGCAGGCAGACGTCGAATTTAGCTTCATTGACTTCCTTTCTGAACTTTGCATCCTATTCACTACACATTTTGTGACATATTCTCGAATAAAATAAATTAAGCAATATTGAACAACTTGCCCAACAAAAATACTATGAAATTTATCTTATTTGATGCACGAACGACACAATTTGATGCACTAATATAACAAATGTGTTAATAACAAGTTTCAAAATTGGACAGCAATTCATATTCTAAAAACTAACAGGTCTCGATTATTCAATTCTGCTAATATGATAAACTATAATTTACAATTAGTTTGTATGAAGACATTTTAATAACAGTATTCAATTAAATACTCGATATGACTAAAATATATTTCGATCGAAAAAATCGTGGAAGGAGAAAGAAATGCTGAGAAAGAAAAGTATTATGGATGTACAAAACAACTTTTATTGTACACATTGACAAAAAATATTAGCTCACTGTACTATTCCCTAGTTAAATGCCTTCGGCAAATGCCAGAACTGCTAATGCACATCTTGCACCTTTGGTAGAAACAGTCCCGAGAGCGGCAGCCTCAGAGAGAACATGAAATTCTAATAGGCGTGGTTTGTAATTGCGGCTGATGGTTGTCTGAAGCTGTCTAATTCTCATCAAATTCGCTTCCAACTGTAGCGAGATACAACTGCAAATTAGATACGAATGGTGGTTGGAAGCAGTCGGCAGCGAGTTTGAAGGGACGCTGTGCTCGTCGCTGTGAATATGCGAATTTCCAGAACGCGACACTGAAGCTTAACGCGAAGTCTCCCAGGCATCCAGGTACGCTCAGAGCAAAGAATCTCAAGGTCTACATTCTCGAACATTTGAATGGTCTTCTCCTAAATCTCAGATTTGTTCTTTGAGCAACATAAAAATTAGAATGTTCCTTCAGTAAACAGTAACATAAAAACAAGCAAATTTTCTTTTCTCACGGATGTTGCCTTGGATGGGATAAATAGGACATTGTTTTTATATTTTTCGAAATAACTTGTCGTTATTGATCATAAAATTTTGCTTTCAAAATTACTTTCGTTGTTTAATGTATCTAAAGCAATGTCACGATTTCCATATGATCTCAGTGTGTAGAAATACTGTACTGGAATGAAAGGCATTGTTTACTTATCTATCCGAACTATCAGTAATGTACATGGAGTCTCGTAGTAATCGATTTTATGCCCTGTTCTATACGTAAAAGATACGCTCTCAACTGGAGGTATAGTAATGGTTATTTCCGTTTAGGATAAGAATATTCTGAGCAAAAAAATCAATGAGTAACACATTTTAATTCGGTTTTGTAATAACATAATAGTAAGCGAAGAAAACCTCTTTCTATACCATTTCAAATAAACGATTGCATTCACCAATGAAACTGAAAGATGTATAATTGGCCGATGTTAAGGTAACATTTTTCGACCACTACTTCCATCAAAACTCAATGGATTGGCCATTTAAATGACTCGAATACTGTATTTAAGCCACGAATTCAGAATTCTTTAAAAATCAGTCAGCCTTCGTTCAGAGCTGCAAAACACGTCCTGTAGTTCCCAAATTATTTTCTATAATATTGTTTTCACTTAAGACCTCTCACTAGTAAGAACATAGAAATAGGCTTGATATGAATTACATATCTATAGAATGAAATCACAATCTCATTCCTCATTTCAGAACCGTAACTTGACTACACATATGAATCAGATTACACTTCTATTCCATCAGCCCGCTACCATTCATCGCCATAGAATATTATTCGTAGAAATACGAATCAGATAACATACCCATTCCTATCCGATTTTCACATTTTGCGAAGACATCATTTTTTTTTAAATAATATATCTTTATTAGTGAACGAATATACATAGTTCAGTATTATTTATACTACAT